CCTGCTGCCTTTGTTTGTGTGCCATTTTACACAGAGTCTCACACTGGAGTGGACCACTCATTGTCATATTACAGGAGGTTCTGTTGGTCCTACTGGAGTACAAAACGGGAACAATTGAACTAAAAAAATAGCAATAGCTAAGTAATTCATGAAGTAGTCCATTAGCAATTAGATGATCTGATGTATGAACAGTGACCAAATAACAGCGTGATCACAAACGTCACCTGTGCACAATCTTTGTGAGCACAACACATACTAATGCCCACGATTGTTGGTGCTAGACCACAGCCATGTTACAATGGATGATATTCCATTTGCGTTGGTTTGAAACTAAAACTGGTTGTGTGTACAGCAGTGGTTTCTTTTTAGGCTGACAATTTTTATAGTCCCTCAGCTTACCTGCTCAGTGACTGTCTGCTCTCAAACAGCCAAGAAAGCTAACCAAGCTAGTGTAGCTAAAGTAAGCTACAGTTGCTCAAGGCATCAGAGTTAAACTGGGATTGAATAAATCCCAGGAAATTGTGGTTTGAAAAGATACAAATCTGAGATGATATGATTGCAAACCAAAAGTAAAAATATTAACATCCACAGAGAAGTCAACCTCAAGACCACAGACAAGATGGTTTATAAAATGCTTATTTTCAATAATAATTAAAACTTTATTGATCCTACACTGGGGAAATTCTTGTGTTAACAGCAGATCTGCTGCAACGGGCTCCCTCTCGGAGGTGCCAAATATGATGTTTCTCTAGGTTCTTTCTTTAAGGCCATCGGCTGTGTACCTATACACAGATGAAGGTGTTCACATATGCACCGTAGGTTAAGAATTGCATATATATTGCGTGTGCATAACGTTACAAAGGTGCAAGGAGGGGTTGAGGGGTTGGGAAGGGTCACCTTCAGCTGGATGCTTTAACCTGACATTCCATCACGAATCTACAGCTCATTGCTCACTTGGTCTATTTCTGTTTACATGTCAAACTCACGAACACATAAGTGCAACAGGGTTATTCATGTTAGGGACATTCCTAACCCTGAGCCTTAGAACACTAACAGGTGCTGAATATTAGTATGCTTCAATGTGCTCATCGCATTAACACACATAAACAACACCTTATAAACACGGCACATTTATTTATACATAGTTCCATTCCATCGGGAATCCAATGCATCAGGCAGACAAAGTATAAAAACAGATGCTTTGAAAACCACTCAAAGAGGAGTTCAGCGTGGCATCAGTGTTCTGCTGTAGAGTCACAGGTTGGACTTTCTGTGTAGGAGAATGATGCAGAGTGGACCGTTTGTGATGGAGATTTTGATGCTGTTAAATGCTTAATAATCTAAATCAGTAAAAAAGTGTATTTCAAGCCACACAACATTTGCATTTGATTTATTAACACTGACAAATAAGATAGGTACAGGCAACAAGATTTACTGTTCAAGCACTGCTACTTGCCCATTTTTCACTCCATCACCATTTATTTTGGCACATTGATTTTCCACTATTTTATATTTACTGCTGATTAAGAAAATTATTGATTGATTTTTTTTTTAGCATCCACAGACTGGGTTTTCTTCTGAGCCATCCAAAAAAGGGATAACCTTGGCCAAATGTATCCATACCATTTGCAGGATGATAAACTGGGTCAAAATGGTTTGTCGTGTACCAAGTTTGATAGATAGTGATCTAGCCTGCAGCTTTGTTTTCACCACAAACTGACTGGGCTCTCACTGCTCTAATATTGTTGACTGTGATCAAACTCTGAAGGACATGTCACGGTAACAAGGTCCAATTGCCATAAACACATACATTTAATATAAGATTAAAAAAGGTAGCAGTAATTGCAAATAATTTACCACTGCTGTATTCCACTCTGCTACCCCAAGTCCTCTCTCTCTCTCTCCCTTTCTGTCTCTCTCTCTCTCTCTCACTAGTCCCCTACTGATATCGTTCACTTTTGTCTCTTTTTGGGTTTGTTTACAACCAAAAGACAAAACAGGTGCACAGGCAATTTCCCACGCCACCCTTTGGTGCCCTGCTCCTTGCTTCTTATTAACACCAGTGGCAGAAACACTGAGTAGTACTTGTCATTCTGTAATCTGGATGAATGGTGATGCCAATTTATTTAGTTGCAAATATAAATGCATTTTACAAAAAAACAAACCAGGAAACTGTTTCTGTGATAAGCGGGAAAATGAAACATACATACACAACAAGCAGTTGTAAAGTTGTGCAGTATGTGTGTGTGTGTGTGTGTGCATGCAACTGACAATCCTTTGAAGTGATGTTCTTATATAATTATGAAATCAATTCTTTGATGAAGGTTTTCAGCAAAACAATTTTCAGCTCAGAGGTTGATACCTTTTCACATCTTTTGTATTCAGATTTATTAAGATTATGCCCAAACTAGACCTCACAACTAAGTATGAAACCCAAAGTCTTAACATATCATTCCTTCATATATCTTATAGTATATGAAGTATAAATAGTAAATATAATATAATAATATAATATATAAATATAAATAGTACATATTCCTTATATATATACCTTATATACCTTATACGTATATTTCTATACCTTCATCTAAATAAGAAACCTGAAGACAAGAAGAGACCAGCGCTCCAGATACTGATACTGAAAACCAAATATAAAGTCAGGTGATTTATGGCCAACACATGACACTACATAAACTCCCACTACCCCTCACCCTGTCCCATAATGCTGCTCTGAGACTTCACTTTTCAACCTTTTGCTACTGATGTGACCTCTGATTTCACCCACAGCTGACGCCTTTTCACTCACACAAACACACGCCTGTTATTTGGCCATAAACACCACACATTTATAGGCACCAGCACCTCAGATACTGAGTAAGTGTGAGAGTGTGGAGTGGGTTGAAAGAGAGTGGGTTGGTGTGTTTCTCTCTCTCTCTCTGTGTGTGTGTATGTGTGTGTGTATGTGTTGGGGGTGATACTGGATTCCAGCAGCTGCACAAACAAGGGCAACTAGATCTCTCTCCTCCCACACTACAAAGCATCATTTCTGAAGGTTGTCATTACATCAACCGACGGTTATTGTAGCCATGTCCTTCAGATATGGGGTCATATATGACCCCATATCTGAAGGATTAGGTGGAAGTCTGTAGAAATGACACCTTTAACCTTGAGCCATCCACTGTCTCAAGACAGGACATGTAAAGGTGTGAACTTAGAGGGGAAATAAATGATTGGTACTAGTCACAGAAGAATATATTTGAACGTATCCTGAGCTAATATTGCAGGTGTGAAATGAGCCAGATCAGAATCCAAACAGCATTTTATATATGGAACAAGGATGCATAACCCCCTAGATCAGGGGTGTCAAACTCAAATTCACAGTGGGCCAAAAATTAAAAACTGGGACCAAGTCTCGGGCCAAACTTAATATTACTATATATACTCTCCAGATCTGTAATGTAGTTTTTCTTTCACATGGAAACAAACTTTAGTTTTGTGTAAACATTTAATCTGGAACAACCAAAGGTTAATATTATAAACACGTGAGAACTTAAATGTAAACTAAGACACATCAGTGGTATTTGTTGTCTCTTTATCTGTAGCAATTCCAGTTCCATTTTAGTGTAAATCTTTTTTTCACAGGCCAACAACAACAAAAAAACTAAAAGTATGTGCTATAACATAGATCATACACTACTGATACTACAAATCCTGCCAGCATATAGGGGCTATATAGTGGCGGGCCAACTCTAGTACACTTTTAATTTGATCTCGCGGGCCAAATATAATTACACTGTGGGTCAGATTTGGCCCCTGGGCCTGAGTTTAACACGTGTGCCCTAGATGGATGACCGTTGTGCTTGGCAACTTTAGGAAATGATGTCGGTATCACTTTAATTAAAAAAAAATTTAAAAAAAGACAAACTATCTTACCTTGCTCTGCGAAGACGCATCCTTGCATAAAACTAGCAAAAAGGCCAACACGTTGGTGTACCTCCACATTTTCCCTCTGGGCAGTCGCGGCGAGAGAAGTGCAAAGATCCAAACCGTTGCGTTCAGCGCAAGTGGCACAGTCAGTGCGCCTGCAGTTACTCCATCTCCACACTGCACTGCTGTCTGTGTCTGTCTGGATGGATGCTGACTGTGCGTCAATGTGTGTGTGAGTGTGTTATGACGCGCCGTAAGCACCAACAATGTTCTCCAGCTCTACTGATGGGAGGGGTTTTGAACACGCGCACCCACGCACGTTTGTTCAGAAAAGTCGTTAAAGACGTGGTTTTTCGCCTCCTGGACCTAACGGTTGCAGGACACCAAGACATATAAAAGTCCCACTAATGAATGTGTTTGTCCTTGTCCATATAGAGACACTGGTACTCATATAAAAGTGAACAGAAAATGGTGAGTTTTCAGAAGTTCCAGCGAGTGAAAAGAATGGCAAGAAGACATGCGATGGCCGGGAATCGAACCCGGGTCAACTGCTTGGAAGGCAGCTATGCTCACCACTATACCACCATCGCTGGCTGAGGTGTCTACTTTATGACATCTCAACAGCAAAGAGTAGCTCATTGTTTACTTCTCCCAAAATACTTCCTTTCACTTGGGTGGAACACTATGTATATTATATTATATTATATTATATTATATTATATTATATTATATTATATTATATTATATTATATTTAGTTTTTATATTATTATTAGTTTCCTCGGACTTTTTTAAACAGCAGTACATCCATCTGCGGGATCCCAGGCCATAAACACAGTCAAACCACTCGGTAAATGGTGCCTCTACACGTAATCAAAACTAAAGAACTTTAAATTGACTTTCAACGACCTTCCCATGAACTTCACTATGACTACATGTCCCGAAAAAAGTCAGTGTTTACACCAACCTTGTTTAGTCTAATTGAACAGAACCCAGGAGTGTTTAACCTACAGGTGAGGTTTGGTTTAGTCGACGTAAATTTTCAACTCCAACACTGGCCTAGAATAAACAACCGTCTCATCTAGAGGAGATGGTTTCAAACCAACGTTAAATAAACTGTCTTTAAGAAACTACATCTCCTGCACTAGTGTTCATCCGAAGTCCACTCACGTACATTTCTTATTTTCGTCACTTGACGTTTGGACTTTTTCTTTCTTTCTTTTTTTTTTTTTTTTTTTTGCCTTATCAGATTTTTAAAGTACAATTCTATAACTCGGTCACTGTTTATTTTTGACACGTTAAATAGAAAGTGGACAGCTGTCACTGAACACAACCGCAGCACGTTGTAATTATCCAAACATTTGATACATTAAATTAATTTGCCCGCGGGATTACCTTGTGGTAGTATAATATTGTACATATGTACACGAAACGTATACATCAATATATTTAACTAATTTGGTTTACCGCTGTGAACGACATTAAACTGCGTATCCTGTTTATTTTAAAGCAACACTGCCATCTGTTGGTTTGTTAAAGATGAAGAATGGTGGTTCTGATAGTTTAAAAGCATAGTTACAAAGATATGTAGCTGTTGTGTTTTCATATTTGCAAATGGAATGTATTACTTCCCATGGTGACAAGAAAGTATCACAGAATTTAAAAAAAGCATAAAAGTAGAAAAGTAGAGCCACCTATGCCACCTAGGTGGCTTAGTGGTTAAGGAAGCGGACTTGGATCCGGAAGGCTTCAGGTTGGAGTCCACCAGATTCGTTAGCACTGAGGTGCTCTGAGCATGGCACCATCCCCATACACTGCTCCCAGGGTGCTCAAAGTTGCACACTGTTCATTTTGGTGATGGGTTAAAAGCAGAGGTCACATTTGGTTGTGTGCAGTGGTGAGCTGTGACACAGTGACAGGTAGTTCACTTTAAAACAAACCTTAATATAATGGACACGTCATACTGTATATCATAGCAAATTAATAATAATAATAAAAACAAACAAACAAACAAACAAACAGAATCAAGATATTAAATTATTCAATGTGATTTCCAGACCAGCATTACTGGTAGACAGTGACACGAGCAATGACTCAGCGTCCACACTGTTTCTGCAGTTTAACATTAAAGGAAAGTGCTGAGACCCAGTCCTTTCATGTGGCCGTGCACTTTGTCTTTCAGACTTGACTTTTAAATATTATAGGCCAGAGGACATATGTGAACATATTTGAGGACATAAACTAAAAATGATTATCCGATAATTCCAGAAGGCAGTATTGAGAAGTGGAAAGATCTAATGTGACCTTAGGAATGGTAATGACCGTCAAGACTGACTAAGTGCATGGCTAAGGTGTCCAGGGCAATAAGGAGGAGAGTGGGTCTTTTGGCAATTGTTTTGAAACATCAGAAGAGAAGAGAAAAGACCAAGAGAAAAGTTAAAGCTAATTTGTACAAGTCTATTAAAATCTGCTTGAGGTCATTACACGAGCTAGGAGACATCATTAAAACAAAGATGAGGCGTAACTGGAACTACAATGTGCAGAGAGAATTCTTCTGTTGTACCCAAAATGATGAACTAAACAAGCAAAAGGAGGCCAAGTGTTTAAGCAGGAATCGTGCGCTGCAGGAGTATGTAGATGAGGAGCAAATGTGGGAAATAAAGAGACACCAGCGACAAGTGCAGAAGGAGGAGAAGGAGAGGGAAAGGGTCAGTGCTCTGCTGAAAGCGGAGGAGGAGAAAAAGGGCAGAGCGAAGCTACGAGTGGAAGAAGAGAAAGAGGCCGAGAAACTCAAATGCTTTGAGATTGAAAAGCAAGGAAGGGAGAAAAACAGGCAAAAGATCCGTGAGAACACCCTGGAGCTCCGACAGCTGCATTCAAAACTGCAGGCAGCCTACGCCAACAAAGGCGTAGTTATACAAATGGCTGAGAACGAGGCCATGAAGTGCCAGAAGAAGCGCGATATGGCTGCACTTGGGATGGAAATGAAGCGGGAACGAGAGCAGAGAGACACAGAGGACAAGGAGATGGACCAGAGACGTCATGTGGAGAAGATGCAGTACTTCAAGGCATTGCAGAGGCAGTTCCAGGAGAAGGAGCAAAGGAGAGAACAAGCCTATCAGGAGTTCCTCAAAGACAAGCAACTGGTGGATGACATAGTGCAGAACATCTATGGGGACCTGCAGATGGAAAGAGAGCGGCAAATGGAAAAAGTCAAAGAAGCTCAGGAGCATATCAAGGAATATGCAAGACGGCGGGAAGAGTGGATACGGTTGGAGAAAGAAAGGATGGAAGCTGAGAACAGGCGCATCATGGAGTTTATGAAGAAGAAGCAGCTCATGGAGATGAATAGAGCAGCAATGCTCAAAGAGAAGAACCAAGCCAAAGAGAATCTCTACCTTTCACTCTGCAAACAGATGGAACAGGATATGCAGCAGCGTGATGAGACAGAACGAATGCTGGAGGAAGTTTGTTTAGAAGAAAAAGAAGAAGCTCAAAGGCTTAAAGAAGTAGAAGAAATGGAAAGGAAACTCAGGCTCAGGATGATACTTCAGCAGGCCTGCCAAGATCAGATCGCTGACAAAGAGGCCAGGAGGAGGCAGGAGGAAGAAGAGGAGCAGGCCTTCAGACAAAAAATGTTGGACAAATTTGCTGAGGATGACAGGATTGAACAGATGAACACCAATAAGCGCCGCATGAGGGCTTTGGAACATGGACGCGAGGTGCAGAAAATGCTGGAGGAGAGGAGGCAACAGCGACTGGCAGCCTTCCAAGCAGATATCAGGGCAAGGGAGATGGAGGAAGAGAAGGAGGCAGAGCTGAGCCGTATAATTGAAATGGAGAGGATTGAAATTCTTAAAAGTCACATCAGGAAACTCTTTGGATACATTCCAAAAGGCTTGCTCCGTGAAAGCGACCTGGAACACTTTGATGAAGACATCAGGAACAGCTTCAAGCCGAAACAGGATGAAGATGGTGATGTAATCTCTCAGGAAGGCCAAAGTCCTACGGGTTAAAGACCACAAGTTCTTCTTCTTTTTTTTTCGGCTTTGTCCCTTTTTCAGGGGTTGCCACAGCGAATCATTGATTTCCATCTCACCCTGTTCTCTGTAACTTCTACTCTGACTCCAACTATCTGCATGTCCTCCCTCACTGCATCCATATATCTCCTCTTTGGCCTTCCTCTTTGTCTCCTACCTGGTAGCTCCATCTCTAACATTCTTCTACCAATGTATCCACTGTCCCTCCTCTGCACATGTCCAAACCATCTCAATCTGGCTTCTCTAGCTTTTTCTCCAAACCTTCCTGTCTGTGTTGTCCCTCTAATGACCTCATTCCTGATCTTGTCCATTCTTGTCACTCCTAAAGAGAATCTTAGCATCTTTAACTCTGCCACCTCCAGCTCCTCCTCCTGTCTTCTGCCTATTGCTACTGTCTCTAAACCATACATCATGGCTGGTCTCACCACCGTCCTGTAAACCTTTCCTTCAAGTTCTATAGGTGTAAAATCAGAAGAGAGGAAGAAAGATATGACCAGATCATAGCAGGGATCATGTTTAATAGATGCACTGTACACAGGGAAATCTCACCACACCGATACCATAGTTACATTTAAATGTATTCAAAAACATAACACAAAACACAACATACTTCAATAAAATGTGAAATAACAAGATGAAGGTTGTCTTCTTAATAAAGCCTAATATTGAAAGGCTCACATTTTTTCTATCTTTTGTGATATAAAACAATGTATACAAATCATTTTAGTACTGTTTACTTCTATAATAGTAAGAAAAGGGCATGTCCAAACATTAAATAAAATGTATACACACTCTTCATAGAAACTTTATATATATATTTATATATACATAATAGAAAACTCTAGAAATCTAAAGATGCAACATTTTATTTCTATTAGGGAAAGCTTTACAGCTTTAAAACAAAACTGCTGAAATGGTGGAAAAAGTGGAAACTATTGTCTTCAGGAGGTTCAATCCCCTGTCTACATAGTGATGTGTCCCATTCACTTGCTCCACTCAGATGTGTCAGTATTGTGTGTCTGATTCAGAAATACTGGAAAACAATAGAGAACAAAACTAGTCCTAGCAACTGGCATTCTTTTGGTGAATGTTAAAATAGGTGGGAATACTGTTGGACCTTACATACTATTAAAGTATCTGTTTTTACTGATTTCTTTGTTTTTGGTTTTGTTTTTTAATAGGAATTGTATTAATCTGTGTGAATGGTGTAGTGATTTGACATTCCAGTGTATGATTCAAGTCGCAGATCAACAGACGGTGTCATTTTATGACATTTTGTCTCATCCATCCTAACAGGCAAACGAGGAGATCTAAGGAAATTTGTTTCTGGTGCAACACGTGTTAACACTGACATTGGTATACTCTCACTGACTTAGGCGATGACATTCCGTTTGGAGAGTGGGCTCTTTTGCTTTGTAATATTCAAGGACAAGCCATCAAAAACATGAGCCTTTCGAAACAATTCAAAAACATCACGAGCAATGTTGGTGAAAGAGTAAACATGCTGATATGTGTCACATTATGAAGACACATCTGGTTTTCTTTGTTCTCGTGTTAATGTTTTGTTTTTCTTTTTACATAATTAAAGCAGCGCACCTCTGCGGCCACAGGCTGCAGTGCTGTTTATTCAACAGTAGATGACAGTGTGACACTCCCCCGACTAAAAGAGTTGCAGGAAGTTGCGTATGAAGATTAGCTGCTCGCTACCATGGCGCCTCTAGACCTGGATAAGTATGCAGAGATCGCTAAACAGTGTAAATACCTGCCAGAGAACGACCTCAAGGTAGGCGTTACTTTAATCGCGAGTATTTTTTTCAGGTCCTGCTTTCGGTTTGTGCTGAATGGGTCAATTTGCCGCTCTTTAATATCACAGCGTCGTAATTAGCCGTCGTTAGCTCAAAGTAGCATTAGCTTCAGCTAGCTCCGCTTTCTGATTTTATCGAATCTACTGCAGATAGTGTCCAATGAACAGTGTATCTCATCAGAGATCAACCTAAATGTAGCTTTTTTCAGGAAATAATGCAGGTTCGGGCAACTGCCCTTTATAACAGTTTTAAGGTTTAAGGACTATCCGGAAGTAACGGCATCATAATTCTGACTAGACATAATTTTTCTTTTTCTTTCGGCTTTGTCCCTTTTTCAGGGGTTGCCACAGCGAATCATTGATTTCCATCTCACCCTGTTCTCTGTAACTTCTACTCTGACTCCAACTATCTGCATGTCCTCCCTCACTGCATCCATATATCTACTCTTTGGCCTTCCTCTTTGTCTCCTACCTGGTAGCTCCATCTCTAACATTCTTCTACCAGTGTATCCACTGTCCCTCCTCTGCACATGTCCAAACCATCTCAATCTGGCTTCTCTAGCCTTTTCTCCAAACCCTCCTGTCTGTGTTGTCCCTCTAATGACCTCATTCCTGATCCTGTCCATTCTTGTCACTCCTAGAGAGAATCTTAGCATCTTTAACTCTGCCACCTCCAGCTCCTCCTCCTGTCTTCTGCCTATTGCTACTGTCTCTAAACCATACATCATGGCTGGTCTCACCACCGTCCTGTAAACCTTTCCCTTCACCTTAGCTGACACTCTTCTGTCACAGATCACTCCTGACACTTTTCTCCAGCTGTTCCATCCTGCCTGTACTCTATTCTTCACCTTCTCCTCTGATCTCAACAGTTGATCTGACTAAACATAATTACGTCTGACTATTGATACGAAATACGGCGAAGTTGACCAATTTTAGACTTTTTCACTCACAGGATTTTTTCATGCAAAAACATTAATATCAATTGATATATGTAAAGGTATTTTTAAAGTGTTCTAAATAGATAAAAACTAAACGATGTTGCCCTTTTGACCAAGTCTCTAAAACACAATATGATGTGATATGAAGAATATACATTTCTTCTGTTTACTCATTTTCCTTTGAGTTTTCAGTAAAGTAACATTTAAATGTGCATCTACAAAAGGCAGAATATAAGTCGTGAGTGAAAACTTGGTCTTTAAATTTGGATGAATTGTTTAATTTATTGTCTCTTTCTTTCTAACTAAGAATTGCTGGAACATGATTTAATGTGGCTCAATTCAGTTCAACAGTCTAATGATGTATTCATGTATTTTTTGTGTACAGCGCTTATGTGACTATGTGTGTGATCTCCTGCTGGAAGAGTCCAATGTCCAGCCTGTCTCCACTCCTGTGACAGTATGTGGAGATATACATGGACAGGTAAATCACTACAAAAACATTTTAAATTTGATAGTTTAAACAGAAAGGATGATTAGAATTTATCTCTTTGTGTTCCAGTTTTATGATCTATGTGAGCTTTTCCGGACGGGCGGCCAGGTTCCGGACACAAATTATATTTTTATGGTTTGTATAATTTAATATTTAAAGCTCTTTCTACTTTTTTTCTGTCTAAATACCCTACTTTAACATGCACCTCTTGTTTATGCAGGGTGATTTTGTAGACCGGGGTTACTATAGTCTGGAGACGTTCACCTACCTGTTGGTGTTAAAAGCCAAATGGCCTGACCGCATAACTCTCCTACGCGGAAATCACGAAAGCCGACAGATAACTCAAGTTTACGGCTTTTATGGTAAATCTCAACACACATTTATAATTACTGTCGATGTATTTCTTTTACTTTGAATTATGTATGGAACTTTTTTCTGTTTCAGACGAGTGTCAGACGAAGTATGGAAATGCAAATGCATGGCGTTACTGCACCAAAGTGTTTGATATGTTAACAGTTGCAGCTGTAAGTATCTGAAATCGTGAAAGATATTAAATTTTTATGCTACTCTTAGGTTTTTGAAAAAGCCCATGATGAAGTGCATAAAATCTCTAAAAAAAATTTAAGTACATTTTTCTATTTATCTATCTTAGTTTCTTACATAAACTCTTGCAAACACTTGAACATCCAATAAACACTCTTCATTGGATGTTTGACATAATTTGTGTGACACTGCATCTTTTATTTCAGTTAATGGATGAACAGATCTTGTGTGTGCATGGAGGCCTGTCTCCAGACATTAAAACTTTGGATCAAATTCGGACCATTGAACGGAACCAGGAGATCCCACACAAAGGAGCATTTTGTGATTTGGTGTGGTCAGATCCAGAAGATGTTGACACTTGGGCCATCAGTCCCAGAGGAGCTGGATGGCTGTTTGGTGCAAAGGTCACAAATGAGGTAAGCTGCTCTTTATTTTAATAATTTGCAAAGAATTCCATCATGATCATCCTTGTACAAGAGTAAAAAATAAAAGAAGAATTAGAAGAATGAAATGTAGTGAAATGCTAAATATTTACATATAGGGCATATGTACAAACTGAAAATATCTCAATGTACTGAACACATTGTCAACATGAATTTAAATGTTAGGCTTAAATGAACTAGTACCGTCCTGTTGGTTATATAATGACTTCCCCTTTTCCATCATACCTTCAGTTTGTTCACATCAACAACCTGAAGCTGATCTGTCGAGCGCATCAGCTTGTCCATGAAGGCTACAAGTTCATGTTTGATGAGAAGCTGGTGACAGTGTGGTCGGCTCCCAACTACTGCTACCGCTGTGGAAATATCGCCTCCATTATGGTCTTCAAAGATGCAAACACACGAGAGCCAAAGCTCTTCAGAGCGGTGCCCGACTCTGAAAGGGTCATCCCGCCCCGTACGACAACACCGTATTTCCTGTAAAAATACATCCAAACCAAACACAACGCAGCCACTCTTTTCATAATGACAAGACGATGGCATCAGCACTTGTCAGCAAGTATGAATTGTGTGTAGTGCATTTAGAGCTTAAATGGTGCATATAATTAAGGCCAGCTGTCAACTGTTTTTATTGCATACAAATGGAAAACTGTGAATAAGAAATGGACACAGCCCTACAGTTACAAAAAAACAAGGAAAACCATGTTCACAGAACATTTTATCATGGTAAGCTCTCATTGGTACGGAGCCATTAAAGGGACATGGGGGAAAAAACGTATCTTGTGGTTATCGAGCCACACGTATAAAGGGTAATACATTAAAAAAAACACAGTCATGTACATAACGTATTTTTGGGAAGTCTAAGATACTGGCATGTCATGCGTGACATATGTACTGTATATATACAGTGCCTTGCGAAAGTATTTGGCCCGCTTGAACTTTGTGACCTTTTGCCACATTTCAGGCTTCAAACATAAAGATATAAAACTGTATTTTTTTGTGAAGAATCAACAACAAGTGGGACACAATCATGAAGTGGAACGAAATTTATTGGATATTTCAAACTTTTTTAACAAATAAAAAACAGAAAAATTGGGTGTGCAAAATTATTCAGCCCCTTTACTTTCAGTGCAGCAAACTCTCTCCAGAAGTTCAGTGAGGATCTCTGAATGATCCAATGTTGACCTAAATGACTAATGATGATAAATGGAATCCACCTGTGTGTAAGCAAGTCTCCTTATAAATGCACCTGCACTGTGATAGTCTCAGAGGTCCGTTTAAAGCACAGAGAGCGTCATGAAGAACAAGGAACACACCAGGCAGGTCCGAGATACTGTTGTGGAGAAGTTTAAAGCTGGATTTGGATACAAAAAGATTTCCCAAGCTTTAAACATCCCAAGGAGCACTGTGCAAGCGATAATATTGAAATGGAAGGAGTATCAGACCACTGCAAATCTACCAAGACCTGGCCGTCCCACTAAACTTTCAGCTCATACAAGGAGAAGACTGATCAGAGATGCAGCCAAGAGGCCCATGATCACTCTGGATGAACTGCAGAGATCTACAGCTGAGGTGGGAGACTCTGTCCATAGGACAACAATCAGTCGTGTACTGCACAAATCTGGCCTTTATGGAAGAGTGGCAAGAAGAAAGCCATTTCTTAAAGATATCCATAAAAAGTGTCGTTTAAAGTTTGCCACAAGCCACCTGGGAGACACACCAAATATGTGGAAGAAGGTGCTCTGGTCAGATGAAACCAAAATCGAACTTTTTGGCAACAATGCAAGACGTTATGTTTGGCGTAAAAGCAACACAGCTCATCACCCTCAACACACCATCCCCACTGTCAAACATGGTGGTGGCAGCATCATGGTTTGGGCCTGCTTTTCTTCAGCAGGGACAGGGAAGATGGTTAAAATTGATGGGAAGATGGACGGAGCCAAATACAGGACCATTCTGGAAGAAAACCTGATGGAGTCTGCAAAAGACCTGAGACTGGGACGGAGATTTGTCTTCCAACAAGACAATGATCCAAAACATAAAGCAAAATCTACAATGGAATGGTTCACAAATAAACATATCCAGGTGTTAGAATGGCCAAGTCAAAGTCCAGACCTGAATCCAATCGAGAATCTGTGGAAAGATCTGAAAACTGCTGTTCACAAACGCTCCATCCAACCTCACTGAGCTCGAGCTGTTTTGCAAGGAGGAATGGGCAAAAATTCCAGTTTCTCGATGTGCAAAACTGACAGAGACATACCCAAAGCGACTTACAGCTGTAATCGCAGCAAAAGGTGGTGCTACAAAGTATTAACTTAAGGGGGCTGAATAATTTTGCACGGCCAATTTTTCTGTTTTTTATTTGTTAAAAAAGTTTGAAATATCCAATAAATTTCGTTCCACTTCATGATTGTGTCCCACTTGTTGTTGATTCTTCACAAAAAATTACAGTTTTATATCTTTATGTTTGAAGCCTGAAATGTGGCAAAAGCTCACAAAGTTCAAGGGGGCCAAATACTTTCGCAAGGCACTGTATATGTATGAGAGGTGAAACGTCTTCTTTTAGAAAATTCACATCCAGTAGCCTAACTGAACTTTTCAACCTTTGACCATGACCTGGATGACTGAGAATCTTTGGAGACATACTGTATATATGGTCAGCATTTATTTAATGTAGGGTACCTTTACATTAATTAAATGCTCACCATATATACAGTACATCACGCATGACTTGTCAGTATCTTGGATTTCCCAACCATACATGATTGGGTTTTTTTTATTTTTATTTTTTTTATGTATTACCCTGTATGTATGTGTGGCAAATTGACTTAATCGTTTATTTAAATACAGTTATTCCCTTTTAGGCTAAAAATAATGAAAATATTGGAAATTAAAACATTTTTAATGTTGCGAGATTGGATTAAAAAAATCCACGATGTTCTGAGGGAGCGAAAGTAGAACCGTGATAAAGAGTGGGACCACTGTAGCCCCCCCATGTCCCTTAGGGGCTCCATATTCAACCAAGGTACACAGTGCAAACACCACCATTACAGTACCTGTGCTACTCCCATTACTACTACCTCTCCTGCAGAAAAGCATAGTTCCTAGTACTGTCACTTGGTCCTGGTACTAGTATCTGTGCTTGAATCGCACCTGTGCAGATTGCACCTGTGCATCTTATTGGCTTCACTTTCAGAAACGGAGGGCTCTGTCTGGTTCTTATCCACAGTCTACAATATAAACCCATCTCTGTACAGCTTGACTTGTACACAAGCTGCTGTGTCACGGTGTACTGAACTGTTTCAGTAGGACAAAGAGTTGAGCATTGCCCAAAAGTCAATTGCCATCTAATTTGATCATATTTATAAAATCCCAAATAATACTTAAAAAATTAGTAAAAACAAAAATCCCTGCCGAAAGAATGTCAGATGCAGCGTTACGTACAGTTGATTTAGTTTGTGTAATGAGTTTGTGTGTGAGATAATATAGAACTGCACAGAGGCAGAGTGATGGATCTTTCTGAAGTGAAACAGTGGGTGCTGGTGTGTGATCTCTACACTTAACATGCAAACCTGAGAGATATGTAAAAATGGAGCTACAGCCGTTAGAATTTTCAGGATTTCTAATCCATAGTTTAAAAAAAATGGGGGGAAGGGGTCTCTCTGACCTGTATGTACTCTCCACACTTGTAATTATATTTCTGTGTCACTGTTTTTAAGTAAAAAAATTAAAAATATTAATACCTTGGTGATCGATGATGAGTCATAAATAATCTCTTGACAACCATTGACAAACTTTGGGCTGCAGCTACAGCGTCATAAATTGACTTCATGTTGCTTCCTTCACCACAGTTTATCACCTATCTCTATCTCACCTCTCTTTAGAATACTGTTTCTATTTACTGTAATGTATATGTTTACATAGTCTATTAATGTTTTGTGATATCTACCCGTTTGTCTTGATTATGTCTATCTTCACCATCTGGGTCCATTATGTTCATTGTTTCTCTGTGGTACCTTTAACATTCTCTCCCTCACTTTGTGAACCCAACTGCTCAGCAGTTGGGTTCATCCTGCTGCCTGCTGCTCCTTTCAGACAATGTCTGTCCCCAAACCCTACGTCATGGAATGTCTTACCTTCACCTTCTAAGACATGCAGGCACATGTCTTCTAGATCTACACAGAGCAGGTACCCTTACCCTTTTTGGCACCACACCCTCAGAAAACCCAACATAATGCTTCGCTCTCCAAGTTATACAACGAGGGTTTGGCACCCAAAAATCACCTGTCAGGATAAACCACTACTGTAAGTAAGCGGTTAAATTCAAGTCAAGGGATTTGGTCTCCCCTTTTCCCATTTTAAAGCTGTCGGAATACTTGTGGTTTTCCACCTTTTCACTACGGTACATACTGTATATGGCAGACCCTGCTTGATCTCCTTCACTTAATGTTTTTGCATAGTGTGACCACTGGAGGGTAGTCAACACGTAGAGTGGAGCACTGCTGTCCCTGAAATGTGTTCGTTAACATTACCTTAAGAACGCCTTGTTTGATTGGTGTTTCAGTGGTAGTAGAAGTATGTTCTGCGTCTCGTTTTCAGGTGACACTGTATTGTTGTATAAATATCTTTAATCTCTGTTTAAAGACCCACAGCGCCAATTATAATTCGTTATGGGTTTGTTACCCAACATTCTCAAAAGCTATTTCCGGGTCCTTATATTAGGCAAGTCCCTCTGTGGTTTAGATTTTTTTTACGTTAAGTTGAGAAGATCAAGTGTCAATTTTATTAATAAATCTAGATTTATTTGGCTTATTTTGGTAAAATTATTTGAATCTGAGTTATATGAAAGTGAATATGATGATGTGGTGTTTAGAACCTGTCTACAAAAATATACCCTAGAGATATAAATATCTATAATATAATAATATTTATGACACATATAATCCCCTAATTGTTGTCTTTGTTGTTGTTTTAATTATCCGCAGCATTGTGAATTCCCCCACTGTGTGACGAATAAAGGCCTTATCTTGACAACAATAATAATGCTTGAATAAGATACTGGATAAATTATGTTTGTATACCACCAAAAACGTTCTCTACAGTCTTGGTCAAAGCAGTATTGAAATATTTTTGTCAGTCGTTTGCTACGATTTTGGTGGTTTGGTGGTGGTAACAGTTGAGCACCTGCTTCCTATTCCCACGTCACATAATAAACCGGCTGAGATGGTCCACCATCGAGGCACCGCCGCCGGTTTACACTTACTGACGGTTCAGTGTTTACAATATACTGCCGTTATCCGGGGTTTCTCCCTATGAATGGAGCCCGCTGGGTTTTGCGTCAATTTTCGCGTGAAACAACATGATGTGATGATTAACTGCATATTGTGTCTCCATATGGGGCGACACAGAGCGGGAAGGGTCTTGTGTTATTAATGCGACTTTCCATTAGCCAATCAGCGAGCCGCGCTGCTTCTATGGTTGAGTAGTTTCTTTTTTCATTGGCTAAGGGAAACGCCCATCACTAGTGAAGCTGATGTTAGGTTGAGGCGTAGGTAAAGCGTTGACTGTGCTGCTCCACTCTGGGGCCAAAGCAACGGTAGCACTGGAAGAAAGACAAATGGTGGAGGAGCGCGTCAAGTCAGGGAGAAAAGGTCTGAGAAAGACCGGTAGCGCGGCTTACATGGAGAGCTGAGAGCCGCTATGAGCTCCACGTCCTCAATGATGTACATATCTCCGCTGCTGACATTTATTTTATATGTATATATTGGATTTTCTAACGCTGCACCTCGCATCAATCTTTACGATGCGCCGCAACTGTCCAACGGGAAACCGGATCCAGCCTCCGGCACCTGGGACACCTTCCGCACCGACTTGCCTTCTCATCTTTACGGGAGAAGGCCGCCAACTGTCGGGCCTGTGGCAGCCGCTTTCCCACCGACTGAGGCTGAAACCTCCATACTGCTTCACAACCCAGCCACTCGTGAGAGTGGAAAGCGCTCAGCCGCAGATGAATTAGCTGCGGCCATTTCTAAATTGTCCAGCGCACGGAAAAGGTCCACGGATGGTCTACCGTACGTGGAGAAAACGCTGCAGACAACTGGGTCCAGACTTACTCAGCGGTCAGACAATGATGCCTGGGCTGCCGTTGCTACTCCGCTCTCTGGACCATATGTTTCACCACCAGAGAATAGTCAAGGTGAGTGTGAGTAAGAGAGGGGGGTATCATTCTAATGGCTTCCCATTATTTTCCTCACACAGCTCCAGTGAAGATGCTGAGCATCACACAAGAAAACACCTCAAGATTAGTTCATATACGCACTCACAGACAGGCAGGCAGACAGACGGAGAAACAGAGACGGGCTGTGCATGTCTAATAATACAGACTGCTTTGACGCAGAGAGAGAGGGGGGGGGGGG